TTGGTAGGGAGCTCACTGAGCTCACAGAGCTCTGTGAGCAACTTGAGTCTTTTTGCTGTGCACCCTCTACACATTGGGTGGAGAAAATTAAATCAATGATTTTGTTCTCCTAAGGATGCAGAAGTGCAAAGATAATATGTATATACATTTTTGGAAATGCATCTTAAATGGCCAGCATCATTACTTGCTCTATGAGCTCATAGAGCTTTTTGTTTTTCAATAATGGATGGTCTTCTAATCTCCATGAAATCTGCTTAGTTATTTTGGCACCAGTAGTGCAAAGATAATATGGATATATGTGTGGGTAAAATGGCCATTGTCATTGCTCTGAATGCTCTATGAGCTCTATGAGCTCAGTGGGCTCATAGAGCTCATATACCTTTTGTGTTTACTAAAATTAGCGCCTTATTTGTTTATTGCTATTTACAAAATTTGAGGAAAACTCTGAAATTCAAAAATTTGCACTTTATCTTTCATCTCATTTCTTGCTCAAAACTCAACCAATTTTGATGATTCTATGTGAATTGGAAAGCACTGAAGTGCGGCAATGTAACCATGCATGTAGGGTATAAATCAGTTTTAAAAAAGTGTTCCAAATGAAGTAAATTAAAAATACCACTTAATAAAGCAAACAAAAAGCTGATGTATCCTTCCAATATCATCCAAGCCTTTGACACCCAATTTCACATGGTCAAAAAGCCATGGTTATTTGGCTCACCAAAGCATGGTGGGAGACTTTTTTAACACTGAAACATACATTGCTACATTGCCCCACTTTGGCACTTTCCAATGCACATTGAATTATCAAAAAAGTGATTTTATTTTTTATTCCTGATTTCCTGAAATATCACTCCATAACTTATCCCAAATTTTCTGATTTTTCCCCTAATTTCACCCAATTTTTTGGACATTCTCCTTTTTTAGAAAGTCCCCCATTTTCTGAATTTTCCTCAATTTTCCCTGACTTTTTTTCAAAATTTTAGAAACCCCCCCATTCCCCCTCCAAATTTCCCCCTTCAAATTTCCCCTCATCCCCCCCCCCATTCCTTCCCAATTTCCCCCTCATTTCCCCCCCATTCTCCCCTCCAAATTCCCCCCTCAATTTTTCCCTCATTCCCCCCATTTCCCCCCTTCAATTTTCCCCTCATTCCCCCCCCCAATTCCCTCCTCAATTTCCCCCCATTCCCCCCCTCAGATTTCCCCCCATTTTCCCCCCATTTTCCTTAAGTAATTTCAGATTAACTGTATGTATATCCCTAAATTTGGTCTATATGTATATTAATTTGGCCATATACCCTTGGTGTGTAGTGCTGCATTGGGGGCTGAAAGTTAAGCTCAGTTTGTTCAGTTTCCTGTATGGTAGGGACTTGGCTGTGACTCATCACATGATGCCAGAGTCAATGCTCTTAAATTTTAATTTTAATATTGGGTAAATTAAACACTCAGGGAGCTTGTTCCCTGTGTGCCAATATAGCTCTATGAGCTCTCAGAGCTTTGACTACTTTTCAGAGCTCTGAGAGAAGGGGACCTGCGATTTCAAAGGACTGAAGCTCTCAGACCTCTGCATTCAGGTTTGCTGATGCATGGAGCCACCCACGATAGCCCAGCTCCATCCAGGGCTGACGTTGTAAGTGTGCTAGGGATGTAACCCAGCAGCAAACAAGAAAAGAAAAAGGGGGGGGGCAAAGAAAATCTTACTACTGGTGAGGCTGCACACAGTCCCGGTGCAAGTGCATGATACTAATAAAATCTCTTAAACTCAGAACTCACCCTGGTCCTTCTTGGATAGTTGTCAGGGAGTCAAACTAAGCTCTTCAAACATGTGGGGTTGCTCAACACCACAGTCTTTGTAGCACAGAAGAGGGGTCCAACAACTGTAAGTACAATGCAAACTGGGTGTATATATAGAAAAAAGAGAAATCAGAACAAAAAAACAAGGAAAATAGTCAATGGATGGTGTCAATGGAAACAGGAAGAATGTTGAGAATTCGGCTAAGAAACAATAAGGCAAAAAAAGTGTCCACAAGGTAGCAATAAAATCAATAATTGAGGCCCATAAGGTCAATATCAACCATCAATCTCGCTTCTCCACCGCATATCCGTCATCCTAACTCCTGTCCCGTCATTCCATCCTCTTCTCCTGATCTGTCACTGTCCTTCAAGCTCAAAATCATGTGAATTGGTGGAAAATTGGTGGAGATATGGGGGAAATGGTGGATATCCGTGAATTTTGGGGAAGTGTGTCATATCCTGGAATCCCGACCCCATGCTCTCCCACCACACCACACCTTCCTAACAACTTCACCATCCCCTACACCATAACTCCCCACTCCCCAAGTCACCTTCCTTCCTAACTGTCTCAGCTCCAGCCTGTTTGCGGCACACTGAACCTTGGCCACTCCCATCCCAGAAGCTCGGCCCCGAGTCGGAACATTCAGAGACTCCGGATTTGCTCTGATCTCCCGATGGATCTCTGACATCCTGTGACATACCCCTAAACCATTTCCCCACCCATTTCATTTATTGGAGTCACCCAACATCCTTCGGATACGTAACTCCGCTTTCAGAGCTACCTGCATCCTTCGGTGACCCCACTCACATCATCACTTATTAGTCACCTTCCATTCATAGCACGACTATCTTCTTCTTACCATTCAGTTGGCTAACCCCCTCTTACCCATTTCTCGTTCCCATTCATCTTCCAGCCTCTTACTCCACCCTCCTTGACCCGACACCTCAGTTCCCCATTAAGGATATTGTTCGGGACCTTTCGGTACCTCTCAGTATCATTCAGCACCTTTCGGTGTTTTCTATTATCATCCGGACTTTGACTAAAGTCCTTTCCATTCCCCCATATAAATACCTGTAGTTTTCCCTAGTTCTAATCTTGACTAAAATGTTACCCCAAGTCCCTCTGAGTGAATCCTGACCCCTTTCTACAAGATACCTCAGACACAAGAAATACAAGGACTAACTGAGACGTAACAGAGGCACAGCGCTCCCTCCAAGTCGCTGAGGCCATGTCCTTCTTAGAGCCTCTTGTACCATCCAGCAGAACCAGGCTTCCTGGAGAAGCTTTGGTTCACTACCAGAGCTCTCAGATCCCCTCTAGTTGAGCCCCACCTGCATTTGGACTCACGCATTTTCCCCTATGATCCGGGTTTTTGACAAAGTGGCAATATGGGTCTTGAGAAAAAAGCATGGAAAAAATTGGAAAAAATGTGAAAATGTGCTGTGGGCATTGTGAATGTGTCGGAGGCTTGAGGGTGCTCGTTGGAGCCTCAAAAAACGTGGTTCTGGCCTTGTTTGTGTGGTACTTGCTGTGCCCTCCTACATACAGGCCTTACTCTTTAATCGTGGGGGACCACGATTTTCTCTAGCAACTCCTACGTTGCGTTCTCCTTAATTACGGCTTCCCAAAGACACAAAAATCATCCGATTTGATGAAGAAATGGGGAGATAGAGCCTCTCTACACTTTTGGCTACTCCTGCCCAACCCGGAAATTTGCGAATATCTCCTGAACAAGTGGATCGTTTCCTTTCAAATTTTGCGAGCGGGTAGAGCTGTTATTCCTCTATCGAACGAGCTTAAGAACACGTCTCGGTCGTCTCTAGAAGGGGCTCGCGTCGACTTTTAAGTTTGTCGCTCATTATATCTCACTTTTCCTCGTCTACCAACCTGAGATCTTTGCCGTTCCCAGCGTTCAAGAGCTCGTTGGAAAGGTATAATCAATTCCCACAATGTTTATTATTACGCCGAAACGTCATTCTCAGTTGTTGGCAGTGTGCAGGATTCTTAAATGTGTAAGCCTGTTTATGCACGACTATTAAGGAATTGGCTGAACTTGTAGACATTTTAAGCCAAAACTGCACTTTTCGGTGAATTTGCTAGTGAACTCTGCACAACAATGCGAGTAAATTAAGGGGGTTTGTGGGGTGATGTAGAAATAAGGTCCTTGGTACCCCAGTAGTAAGGGAGTGCATCACGGCATGGTAAGAGGTGAAGTCCACGGTATGTTGGCTTCTCTCTGACATGGATGCTGTCTCCACTACTGGCTAGTTGACTGCTCCGTAATAGGGGGGGTAAATGCCCAACTGCCTTGTGTGATGGAGGTCAATGATAAATAAGGTTGTAAAATTTGGTTAAGTCTGACTTGGGTGTCCAGCACTGATGATAAATACAGAGGGGTATAATCAACCTCAGCGTACATGAGCATGCAGGTTGTTGATTGGGAGTGGTGGCATAATCTACTCATGACCACCTAGGTCTGCAGTCACATTGGACATTGCATCCTCAGACATACTGTACTCACACGACCAACTACTGGCTTAGTCAGCCACGTGACTTGTCACGTGATATAAACTGCCAACCGGCAACTTGTTGTGACGTGTGACACCCAACCAGCAGGGCACTGCAGAGTTGTCTGAATTATATTACTTATATTAAATTGTTAACCACCTTGAATTTAAAATTTAAAAATTTGAAAACACTGCCCCCATAAAATTTCTGAGCATCTGTGCATCATCTCATGAATGGTTTTACCCTTGCACACCGCATTGCTTTGTGTATGGATGAGACTATCTCAAATAGCGACATCCTGGGTGATTTTATTGGATCCTACTTTCCAGACGGGAACTTGTCTGTCACGAGAGGCTGGTCACCTGCCTAGTCTGTCACTGAATTTATCCAGTTTACACTTCCAGTCCTCCGAACAAATTTACAAGGTTCACATACTCCCTGTGCCTATTCATGAGCAGGAACTTGGCCATGGAATGTGAGCAAGGCACACAAGAAACTTGGAAGACCAAATGAAAAATATCTGTTTTTGAATGTAAATACATTCCAGAAATGAAAAATTTGAATTGCCTTGCACAGCCACCTTGCCTCAGCAAAACTGGCATGACACCCAAACACCCAACTGCCAACCGGCTGTGACACATGACAGACCCTGAATTTTGACCGGACTGGGAGGTCTCTGTGACACATGACCAGTAGTTGGTCATGTGAGTACAGTAATGCAGTCTGCTTTACCCTTGCCTTTAGTTAACTCGTGGGTATGGGTGCTTATAGGCTTCGGGTTGGGATCCTTGTCCATGACATTGGAGGTTTCCCCATTGGTGACTTCAGTCTGCTCGATAAGTCAGCTGAGCTGAGACATGTTAGTCGTGCTGTTGCTGACTTGAGCTGTGCTCTGGTCAGAGTCTCTGGAAGAGCTCCTGTTGGCGTCAGGCTGGTTACTAGGAGGGGTATGGGGCTTCTTCCCCTTGTGAACTGGGTCACCGGGCGGGACTAGGTCTGCACCTGTGGACTTCAACGCTTTGGCTATCTTCTGGAGGTTTTGTGTGCATTCCTCCATATGCTTGTCAGACAGGGTGCAATTTCTGATGTGGTATCCTCTTGGCTCAGGGATGATAGCATGCCACGCTTCCAACATAGCTTCCTTAGCATCAATAAAAGTGGCATATCGGTGATCATGGAGAGATTCTGTCCCTAATCTTCTCCTCAATCCCTGCCAGAATCTCTTGGTGGGTGTACCAATATTCATCGGCATTAGGGTATTGGCATGCATTGCCAGAAACAAAGCCCTAATACCTCTGGCGGCATTCTGGGTTTGATTATGTTCATATAAGAACAGATCATAGGCACGGAGGACTTCCTTAGAGGTCTCCTCAGAGGACTTCAGGACTGTGTCCATACTATTGTGAAGTTGCTGCACTAGGCTGTCTTGTGGGCAAGCTTCTTGAACAATGGATCGATGTGGATTTCGTGTGCATGTTTAAGAGTAGAGCTAACATCCAAAAGCTCATCTACCCATGTGGTGGCTTGGCTTAGAAGGGCTCATAACTCTGGGTCGGTCTCAATGATGGGAAGATGCCGAGGATGTAGTCCTTGATGGATGGAAGGGTGCTTCTTGGGTTTATACTTGGGTGCCTTCTTGTCTTCAGCAAGTGCAGAAATCAAGGCAGGTTACCTATGTTCCCCATGTATGTGGATGGTTTAGGGGGGACTCTGCTGTTATGTCTATGGGAGGGCTGGGAGCCTTCAATAAATGGCTTTTTGGTGACTGTGGGCTTCTGAAGGGGTGCTTCCTCTCTGAACCCAGTGTGATGTTGCTTAGAACTAGACTCAGCCTCTTGGGACTTGGTCTGGGCGTGCACTACAGACTCCAATTGCTTAACTTTGTCTTGTAATGCTCGGACAGTGTCATCCTCAATCCTAGAACATTTAGGGGAAGGAGAGTGAGATCTTCTACACTTACTAGCTCCTTGAACGAGATGGAGGGAAAGGTTTATGAGGGCCTCCTCTGGCTGCACCTTGGCCTCTTCTGGTGGCAGAATTCCTGCCACTTCTCCTTCATGCACTTCATACTTGTCATCATGATAACTTTGTGGAGAAGTCTCCCATAGACGCTCATGGCAGGGGTATGGCGATCCTGATACATAGTGTGCCATTGCGCAATCTAAGACAAAGTTGGTGTCCACATCAATGCCTTCCCTTGTGGGATTTGGTTCCAGGGCTGCTTCAATCGTTATGCAGGCTCTCTCCCCTTCAGCGGGCTTGTCAGTCTGCTTGGTTTCTGCTGGTGGAATAACTTCTACAGTTGCATTGCCAAATTCCCCTTTTGCATCTGCCCTGGTAGAGTTGGTAGTCTCAGCCGTGATTGGGTAGGACTCTTGGGGTATGTATTCCCCTTCCCCCCCAAGGTAGCCACTGGAATAAGGTTGGCTTTCCGTTGGGTAGACTTTTGAAGCAGATGAGTTCCCCTTCCTGGTCAGGGTATGTCTCATGTTGGTAATCCCAAAATTGGGTATCTTCCTGGATGAACCTCTCAAGATCCTCTTTGTATGTACTTGGAGGAAACTTGACTTCAGGATCTGTGGCTCTTTGAAGCATGTGCTTGTACTTTTCTTGCCAGTACTTGTCAAGTGCTTTGCCTCGCAATTCCCAAGGTTTGGGGAGGCCTGGCTGCTTAAGGTTAACAGACAATGATAAATTGTTGGCTTTGCTCTCTTCAAGAATTTTGTCATCCTGTAATTCAACAGGCTTGCGGATGACAGGTTCCTTGGATTTGCAGTAGTGGTAGGACTTGATTCTCTTCCCTGCCACTGGGCGTTTAAAGACAGCCCCATCTAGTTCTTGTAGAACAAAAGTGCCACTCTGGAGTCTCTTGACTATAATGTAGGGCCCAAACCAACGAGGTTGGCCTTTCATATCATGTTGGAGCTTTATATGCTCATTAGAGACTAAGACAAATTCTCCTGGCTTGTAATTGTCTAATTTCATGCAGTGAGCATGGCGCCAGTTATAGTCATCAGCGGCTTTCTTCCTAGACTCAAAGCTAGACTTTGCTGCGTGATCAAGGAATTCCTCCTTTTGGCCAATTTGTCTGATTTGCATAGCTAGTAGCTCCTTGGTTGTAAATACCAAAGGCCAGTCTAATGCATAAAATGTTCGATCTGTGATTTCAAATGGCATCAACGGATGTTGTCCATACAAAAGAAAGTAGGGTGTGTATCCTGTGTTGCACTTGGTGGTGACATGGTCTGCCCACAAGGCGTATCTGACCAGGTTGGGCCATTCATTAGTGTGTCCTTTTAACACGCACTATATACTTTCAATCCATACACCATGGCCGCGTTCAACTTTGCCATTGGAAGCTGGGTTATAAGCGGTGGTTTGCATGATGGGGATATTGTGTTGTAGTTTGAGGTGTCTCTTTTCTTTCAATCTTCACTCTACATATAGTCATGTGACTTTGAGGTTGACTTTATCCTTTCTACTTATTGTATCAAGGCTAAAGTCTATCTCAGGCAAGTCTCCTTGTATATTATCCTTTCTACTTATTGTATCAAGGCTAAAGTCTATCTCAGACTGCCCCAGGGGTGCTAACCTGAGTTACTACATATTGTACTTGTCAAGTAGAACTTGAGTAGCACCAAGGAATTCACTACTGTGAGCTGGATGATGCAGCTATATATCTACACATGACTTTGAACAGAAATTTGGCGACAGTCTCAGACTTGATGTTCTTGAGAGCTTTAGCCTCTGTCCATCCAGTTAGGTTATCTGTGAGGTCAACAAGATACTTGTAGCCTCCCTTGCCTCGTGGCATTGCAACGGTGTCGGCATCAAACTGTCTAAGTAAAGTCCTCACATATTGAGGCTGGATTGGAATGGTGTTCTTTTGCGTTGATCGCAACTGGCATTCATGGCATGTCCAACAGTACTGCTCAACATATTGGTACATGTTAGGAAACCAATATGAGTCACGAATCTTGCTAAAAGTGGGGTCTCTGCCTTGATGACCGCTGCCATCATGGGCATCTTTGACAACTCCCTGACAAATTTCTTCATTGAGTACTACTAGAAGCATCGGCTTATCTTGGTTGCGCTTCCACAATTTTCCTTCATACAGGAAAAACTGCTTGGCTCTGTTCAGAAGTCATGCCACTTCTTTCTTGTCAGTGGGCAAGGTGTTGTGTGTAGTTGTTTCTATTTCTCCTTCATTTCTTATTCAATCTGTGCTCCATTTGTATCATGTGACTGCGGAGTCGTCCTTTAACTGTTACTTCTACTTGGAATAACATTAAAGGACAACTCAGAGTGGCTATTGCTGAGTTATAATACAAGGTGCCCTTGGTCAGGAAGGCAAGGATTGTCTTCCAATATTCCTCGGAATCATAGTCATCTATACAATGTGGATGCTTAGGTTGTCTGGATTCCTCAGGACTTCGTTCCTTGAGGATTTCACCTTCACAAAAGTCAAATGGGCTACTGGAAATAACCTTTGCCTGGGCTGGCTCTTTCCAGCGGACCTCAAGTGGCGTGCACTTGCCTATGCAGTGATATAGCCTTGTGTCACTAATTTCAGAGTCTTCTTGGGAGACTGTTGGTCGTAAAATTCGACCATGCTAACTTCCCTAGTCTCCTCATCAGGGAGAGTGTGGAGAGGTCAGACAAGGTTCACCCCTTCGTCAATGTCTACTTCACCATCACTATGGTCTGAGTCATCTTCTGACTTCCTATGCCAAGATAATCCATCGGCGGCTTTGTGCTTCATTGTGGGGACATGTTCAATGTCAAAGCTGAATAAGAGAATGTACATTATCCAGTGGGTCATTGCTGCGTTTGGCAAATTGGGGGCATTTATCATTTGGATAAGCGAAATAGCATCCACTTGAAGCATAAAAGCATAAAGTGAATGTTGTATAAATGGTGTTTCTCTGCCTTAAAGGCTCGTAGAACTCCATATAGCTCTAGCTTAGGCTGAGAATAGCGGCTTTCAACTGCATTGAACATGATTGAACTGAAAACTATGGGATACTGTACTGGCACGACCAACAACTGGTCACGCATCATGCTGGCTTTGCAGTTGCAATGTCCGGTGTCACGCTGTTTGGTGGCTCCAAGTGGCTGTGTGATTTTTCGATTGGATTTGGTCACATGTAAAACTCAAAGTGATACATTTCCATCTCTTTTTCTAGATTTTTCGCCTGTCTGACTCGTTTACCCCCAAAAAAACGGAAATTTAAATTTGCAGTTGAAACACGAGATTTATTCAGTTCAATTATTATTTTCAAATTTACTCGGATATAAGTAAGACTATAGACCCGTTAGCACTCAGGTATTTCTGGCTCTTGTCACGCTGTTCCAGGTTCAACCGGTTGGCTGTCACGCATCACTCAGGCTTTCCGGTTGAATGTCTGACGTAAATTTCTGTCATGCTCCAAAACCATGCGGTTGTTGGTCATGCCAGTACAGTATACCCCATCTTCATAGGTTTGGTTAATAACCCAGCCCACACCAATAACAGATGAGTTGACTTGGATGGCAACTAAACCTAAGTTGCTCTCTCACTGGTTCTTTGGCATTACTTGGGCAGCCAACTTGAAATCTAGCAATCAGATGGGTGATGCATTTACAGCTAAATCTTTTAAGATAGCCATTGCCTCTTCAGCTTCTGGTGTCCACTTGAACTCATGGGGTGCCATCTTCTTGGTTAGCTGTGTGAGGGGTTTGGCGATTTTGGCAAAATCCTTAATCCAGCGGCATTGTAACAGGGAAATCATCCCAACATCACACAGGCTCACAGGGGGGGACAGTAGTCTCATGGCCTTACTGACTGTCGCTAAAAGAGGTCCTAGAGTATGGTGTTGTAGGTGTCGCGGCTGTATAGTTGTGGCTGTGCAGTCACGGGATTACCACAACTACACTTGCCACCATATGTACATGAAAGAAGGAAAGAGCACTGTTTTATAGTGCAAGGGTTTATCCCTGCAACATACAGGCCTAGCTCTTGATTGCAGTCCCTTGCAATCTCCAAAAAAGAAACAACAAAGAGCAAAAGAAAGTCAACCATAAAGAAAAGAAAGTCCCAACTCCGCACGGTGTTAAATGCCATGTGACCTCTACACAATCTCAATGTGTGCGCTCAACTCCATCCTGCTCCATACAGTCTCTCCCATCATCATGATAAAAACCTCCTAATTCGCAGCTTTCCAATGATACCAATTTCACCCAAATCGGCCCAGTGGAAGCTGAGATATGATGAAGTTGAAACCATGGAAGTCACATGCGGTGCGAAGGCATGAGAAGATTCCAGTAACTTGCCCAGAACAAGCACCCATGCGCTCAACAACTCCTCCCTCCTTCGGCACTCACTCAACCATCCAACTCAGCCCTCAACCCTCATCACATCACCACTCATCATCTGGCTCCAGTGCCAAATTACACCCAAAACTCGCACTACCATGCATGCCACTGGAGAACCACCGGGCGAATGGGAGGATTGGGCACAGTAGTATGCCCCATTTCCACTCCCATAACTAACCCACATGTGCACGGTGACTAACTTCGCTCACATTGGCATAGAACTTCACAGATCCAACGTGTGATCAACTTCATGCTCGAAAACCAATGGATTCGTTGCTAAGGCCAGGGGGCCTTAGCTCTTCTAGCTTGTGCTCGGCGCTGTTGTGTACTGGGCTCGGCTTGTCTCTGGCTGCAGCGTCATGCAACTCGTGCTCGGGCTCGGAATTGTCATCAGAAGTGGGGAAACCGAAGCTAGGGCTGGGAGGCCTTAGCTCTTTGAACTTGAACTCCACTCTCATATCAAATACAACGGCTTGGGTTGGAGTTGCCACGATAGGCATGCGCATGGGCTCGGGATCGACGTTGGATGACAAACTGATGCTAAGGCCGGGAGGCCTTAGCTCTTTTGGCTTGAGCTTGATGCACTCTGGCTGGGGTGTCGCACAACTCATGCGTGGCTCGAAATCATCATCAAGAAGGGAGTCGTGCTAAGGCTGGGAGCTGGCAATGCTGCCATGCTAGGCATTGTGCAAGGGTAGTCGGAACCGCAAAAAAAAAAGAAAATCGTATAAAATCTGAAAGAAGGTTGTCCGGCTAGTGGAGGGGTTCGTGGGTCATCATACTGAGGAATAACGGTGCATCAAACTTGGGAAAACTCTGAAGAAACGCGGTAAGGCTTTGAAATCGGCCGAACAAACGCTGCCCGCCTGTGGCTCAACTCGGGATCCACCAGGGGGACAACGCAGGCTTAAGCAGCAACAGAAAACTCTGCACTTGACTGACAGCCTCGGAGCCTTGAGTGGCAACAATGCATATGTTTGGCACTTGGCTCGTGAACACAGATATCGAAGGAACTCTGATTCCTTTTGTAAACTCTGGCAATCAGCAATGCAATTCGTCAGCACATGGTGTAGAATCTAGCTCAGACAGAAATGGTGGTGTGGTTTCACATGTAAGAAATGACCGTGCCGGTCTTGGAAGAGTGTTGTCTGGCTGAGGAAGGGGTTTGGATATCACGGTATCGAAGATTAACGACGCGTCAAACTTGGGAAAACTTCGAAAAACCCAGTAAAGCTTCAAAATCGGCCAAACAAACGCTGCCCGCCTGTGGCTCAACTCAGGATCTGCCAGGGGGGACAACGCAGGCTTAAGCGGCAACAGAAAACTCTGCGCTTGACTGACAGCCTCGGAGCCTTGAGCGGCAACAACACATATGTTTGGCACTTGGCTTGTGAACACAGATATCGTAGGAACTAGGTTGCTCTTGTAAACCTTGGCAATCAGCAGTGTGGATCATCGATACACAGTGTAGAATCAAGCTCAGACAGAAATGGCACTGGTCTTGGATGTAAAAATTAAGCGTGTAGGTCGCGTTTGTTGAAAAATCATAAGAACCACTGTAAGAACTTGAAGGAATGGCGTCTGACTGAGGGAGGGGGTCGTGAATCGTGTAATTGAGGACTAATGGTGCATCGAACTCAGGTAAAACTTGAGAAACTCGGCGAAACTTCAAACGTCGGCAACCAAATGGTGTCCTCTGTGCCCTATCATAGGATCCGCCAGGAGGGGACTCTTTTCCCTTGAGC